ACCCCTTTGTTTAAACTAGTTGTCTCTGACAGTGTTCCAGAACCATTGCTGTTTTCAATATAGACCTGCTGAGATCTACTACTCAAGTACGACTTCATCAACTTCAAAGCAGTACCTCGAATTCCGTAGCTCTCTAATTTACTAATTAAGATCCGATGATCAATAATTTCAAATGCTTTGGATAAGTCGAAGTAAATCCCCGCCACCAGTTTTCGTCTATCAAGTTGATTCAATATGAATTTCAATATAAGAGAAAGTAAAGACACGCCTGAATATAAAGAAGAATAAAAAAGAGTGCAAAATTTGAAATTTGTTTCCAGAATAACTCCCTTCTTGATCAACATTCTTAGTTGGTATAACATTCATCCAAATATATAATGTTACGACATTTGCATAAAACAAACATTATTTCGCCGTTATATAATAATAAATAAGACACTAAAAACTCCCATATGTAATATATATCTCTCATTTTTATCACACGCTGATAATGTGATATCAAATTTAACTTCATTCGCAAAATTAAACCTTTAGCAACCATCGCTCGTTAACAGAAATTCATTTTTTACCTGAAACAAAGTTATTGAGGAAATCGCAAGGCTTAACCTTAACGTAAGGATTTGAGTAGGTACGTATTAGATCTAACAGGTCTAGGGCGGCAATTAAAACTCACAACCCTCCCATATCTTGTAAGATGCCAAAAAAGCCCGATCGTACAAAACAATATTTTTATATCAATATTTGTGGTACTAATGATATTATATTATCTAGCTAGGCCATATTAGAGCTGCCACTAATATGTGTAATCAGTACACAATGACACCATTGAAAAAAAACTTACTATATTTCGAAGTACCAACATTGCTTTAATGTATTAATGACACTAAATTACATAATTTGTTTTCTTTTACCAGAATATTTATATTATGCCGTATAAAGTTTATTTTCCAATAATATGAATATTACCTATATAAAAGTTTGTTTTAGCCTTGTCTATCGAACAAATTATCAATAACCGACTGTAATGGCTAATAAATTAGGGTTCCGTTACACCACCACACATTTCCAGATAGTTTTTCGCGCTCGTGAAAAACAAGTGCGAGTTAAAGAAAATTAGTCTCGTTTCTGCAGTTTATTCAAAATTCTAATTTACTTATTTTAAACGGGGTTATTACATATGCACCACGCGCTATTTTAACCTGCTTATTTGCTTAATTAGGACAACGTTAGATACCAGTAAGTAAACGATTGATAGATCTAAGCAACACTTATCTCATGCTAGTATCAAGGAAATAACCTACGGATTTTTATTCTTGGTATTTACAGGAATTCGAAATATGTCATATTTAAAGTCGGCACCACATAAACTATTAACACTTTTTCCAACTCTCAGGCAGGTATTGATGTTTTACCTATAAATAAAAAATGTATAGCAGTCCTAAATGATTACGTATTTCAACCGAGTATTTAGAAGGTTTAAATGATAAATAATAAAGCAGTTTTCCATCTTATTTAGCTTTTTGTGTAGTCTTGAAACTTTGATATAAATATTCTTTCTCGAATAAAGGAGTTGAATCTATGAAATATTCGTGAGTTAAAAACGTATTTTTGTTTGAGGTTTAGAAGCTTTGATTTTTTATTGAAAAACGCGATAAGTAATTGTTTTTCTAAAAATGTTTCATATTTTCTGTAAGAACGATATTACACGGTGAACCTTAATAATGCAAAAGTAAAATATCAACGCAAACATTATTTAATAAAATGTGGAAAGCTGACTGGTCAAGTATGCGCGATTCTGCACAGAAGGGTGCATAAGGCAGTTAAGTTACGTTACGCACTCTGGTCACGATCGTAAGAGATGCTAAGTAGAGCTCCCACGTGTAGGTGGTGAGTGTATTGTGCAGGTCATCGTGCTTTGTTGTTTGGCTATTATTAGATAAAAGCCCTCGCAGATATCCGGATATATCCCTAGGTTCCGTGAATGCATAATGTGCCTATGCCGCGGTTCCGGGTCTGATGATTATACTGCTTACTCGCTCGACTAGGTCATGATGTCGACCCAATACGAAACGTAAAGACCTCATTGCCAATGCTAACAAAAAGAATCCATTCGCCGATCGTAGTGTTCGGAGGTCCAGGACAGCTCTGCGCCAGCTCGGGGCAGATGTTTGTTTACATGACCCTCGAGCGCGAAAGACGACCTGTCAGACTAAATGCCGTTGCAGGGACGTTGAGGTGAGTTTACAGTACATTTGTCATGATGATGAGTTCTGACCAACGATTATAGCCCCCATTTAGTTAGCTACTTCCCTTGTTGTTAAAAATACCAACCCATTATGGTTTACGCCACTTCATTACATTTCAATTTTTAAGTTTTGCAGCAGAACAAAATTTGTAACTGTGACAACTTGATTGGAGACATCAGCTCCTTGGTAACAGTTATCTGCCCCGGGAGGCTGAAGGTTCTATCTTTCATGGAGAGGAACGAGCTCTGAAATTAGTTGCGGAGGAAATGGTGCAAGCCCAATGTGCCTTTGGTATGCGTAAGTTCGGCTCCCTTTGTGGAGAGAAGATAATAGATACGTATTTACTATTTTAACGCCTTCAAGGGTTTTCAACGGATTTCAAGAGTGTTTAAGAAAGGCCAAGAAGCTGGAGCTGGAGGCTTTACAAGTCCCGAAGCTTTTGTTTGTCCTTGAGAGTCTTTCAAGGTGTTTGAGCCTTTCCAAAGTGTTGAGAAGTTTTATTGGATTTTATAAGTTTTGTGGAATCACTAATTGTTCTCTCAAACAGTCTTCAATGGCCTTCGTTTTAGTGAGAGAATCTAGTAGGCAATTAATAGCTTATTGAGGTCGTTAAGATTCGTTAAGAGCTTATCTGTTAAGTTATGTAGTATCTAATCTTGAAGGCTCTTTACATTGTTTAAGCCTCATTTAAAGGCCTTTAAGGAACTTCGCCAACGGTAACTAAGAGTTTCAATGGCCTCAAGGGTCTATAAAAATCTTCTAAAGGCATTTATATTTTATAATCTTTAAAAGCATTAAAGAGCTTTAAAATGCCTCTTTTTAAGAGCCTCTCACAGACTCCAAGGGTCCATAGAGACACAACGGGCGTTTATTGACTTTTTGATATTTTGAAAGTTTAAAAATCATTAATGCGTTTTAAGAGTGATTAAGAGACCTGGTCTGGGCCTTAAGGGCTTGTATGGGTCATTAGAAGTTTATGAGTCTAGACTTTAGAGCATTGATAGACCAGAGTCACCAATATTTTCCAAATGTTGTCTAGAATCTCCAAGATACTTCTACATTCTTAATTATATAAGCTTAACTTTTGACGGGTTTTATGGATATATTGTAATATTTAGAAGAAGAAAAATCGATATTCAATATAGTATAACGAAAGTTCCTTTTTTGTTCATAGTCATACAGGATCTAAGATGTTCCTTATTAATATGCGAATATTAAAAATTTGCCTCGCGCTAGCTAAAAATATAAAGCAGCGATTTACAGAACTTGCTACTAATGACCTTCGGTCCTCGGTGTTGCCATTGAATAATTATTCAATGGTTTTACTAATTGCGTGCTAATAGGAGTCGTAGAGTTGAAAACTGGTTACGGTTTAGTTCCTATATTCCAATTTTTCTACTTTAAACCTTCATTCATGTCCAAAATATAATCAAAAGTTTTGCTTTCTTTGAATTTTTCATTCATCTTAATTTCATCCAAAACTATTGCATTTACATTTTCGTTGGTATTTGAAATAGTTCCGCAAGTGGTCATTTCTGCATGTTTATTAGCATTTTTTTTTTAAATTTTGTCAGTATAGACTGACTTTATGTCTCAGTGTTTTTTTTTCTTTTTAGAAGTATTGTAATAGCGTAATTGTTGTTTAAATTTTATCGCTTTTGTAATTGTTTATTTAGATTTGTCTGTTTAAGTATAAAACGTGAAATTACGTCCGAAAATGTAGAAATATCTGTTCGTTTGCGATAAGAAATATGGAGTAGTTTGCCCTAGTTGTTTTGCTGAAGTGTGCAGAAGACGTTAAGTAACATTAATAAAAGATTTAAGTTATCGTCAAGTGAAGTAGTACAAGTTGGTGGAAAGATTTTTAAAAACGGTATGTCCGTAATAAAAAAAAGTGAGTTCGAGTGTGAGTAAACAAAGCAGTTGTCAGCTTAGTAAAACCTTTCTAAAAGGTTTCTCTTTCATTAAAAGTTGAAAGCAGACACCAAACATTTTTTTCATCTTATTTATCAAGTTTATTTAAGATGTGAACTCGAATAGTAAGAACTTTCATTCCCACTTCCCTTGTAGCGAATTAGACGAACATCAGAAGAAGAGAAAGCGTCAATTAGCAAAAATCTTTCATGATATTTAGAAAAGTAACTATAATATTTCCAGTCAAAAACATAAAAAATGAAGTAGAGGGCAAAAATAATGCATCACAAGTTTTCAAATACCTACAAAATTTAGAAAAGGCAATTTACCCTTGGTAAACCGTGTCATTTTTATTGAGACCTGTTCATTTTAATCGATAAAACATTTCGAAGTGTCATTTTAATTCTATTTACACGCGCCACCTATGCTAGAGTAGATGTATCATTCCAGAAACCTTTGCGGACGAGTTCTGAACAATTCCCAAAGCTCCTCGGCGATCGTATGGTTGGTTCAGTAACTTATAAACTACCAAAAAGTAGACACACATCCGTTTTGGTATGGATAGTATAGATTAAAGTTAGTACAGCCATACCCTCAATAAGTTGTTTTTTTTACCAAAATCATATCTTTACAATAAATAACGTATGTTCTTTGTTACACGGTAACATAGAGATTTAGTTAAAAGTTTGAACCTTTAAAATGTCCGTGTTGCCGCTGTCAAGTTTAAAGTTAATGGAAAGTATCCATCGAACTTCAACTTGATTCCTTTAGGGAATATTAGTTCTTTCCCAAAGTTTCAACAGAAGCTAAAAAGTGTAACAAAAGAATACTTACTTGCGACAACTAGGTGGAAAATTAGTGTGAAAACTATGATGTACAACGAAGTACTTGACATGTCCATTTTGCGGCCCCCCATTAAGTTGTTTGGAAAACTACCACTTGATTTTACATTTTTAGTCTTCACATACTAATCCGTTTCAAGTGTTTACGTGCACACACTTCGAATATTAATTAGGCTGGTACCACTACTTATTGGATCTCCAATTGTCGGTACTGTAAACAAAGAGAGATACAACCGTTAAGATCAATAGCGAGGGGTTAATTAAATATTAACAACATCAAAAGTATCTAATTAGAAAAGCAACAACAGTCTAGTTATTCTAGTAGACGTACACGACATCAGTTAAATTGAAATATGTTTATGTGATTAGATGTAGGTATTTATGAAAAGAATTATTGATTGCGAAGCTGATTAATAGAGAACCAGATTTTACGATAAACAGTTTTCAATAATAATCTTCCCGTTTGTACTTGTTGCATAAACTCCAGATTCGGATTGAAATTATACGCCAATATAAATAAAATACCCACCGCATGATTTATTGCCAACGCAAGCGTATGAAAATCAATACTAAACATGAGATGATGTATTTTTATGACAAATGCCCCTAGTGGCAATTCTGTCATTCAGCAACAAGATTCGATGATCCTTCGTATTATTCCAAATGAAGGATGGCGTACTAGGATTGTCACTTGAATGTTCCAGAAAATGGGAAATGATAGAAATTATTACCTCCACCACATACGCAACTGTCATTTGAGGTAGTTAATCTAAGAATCTCGAATTCTGGCATAGAACACCAATCACATTACCACCTTAAAGCGAAGAAGGGTTGCAACATGAAAAACGAAAATTTAATTCCGGTATGCGTATATCTGTATAATAATTTGTCCGCAAAAAGCCCCTTATACGTGCCGCGAACTAAACGAGTTGATTTATTGATTTAATTTTAGATTTATCTTGATTACTGGACGTGAATTGTGAAAAGGTTATAAAATCCTCTTTCCCGTCTCACATTCTTTTTCGCAGCATAATTCTTCATTTATGGTTGATAAGCTGTAATCGTAAAAGATTTTTAAATTGGAAATTTCCAAAAATTACATCGGGTAATGAACTGTGCACGAAATTAAATTTTGATTGCAATCTTTGCGGCTTGTAATAAATATGCAACTCTAAATTAGCTAGAAAATAACGCGTTACCCTATTTTAACGCTACATACTAATGATACGCCTAAATTGTCAAATAAATTTGTGCCATTAATACGTCTAATTTAGTGCAAGAAATGAGCATTAGAGTTCCGTTCGTACCTCTAGTTCATGGTTAAATGCAAGTGAAAAGATTACTTGGGATTGTGTAATGTGGATTTGAAGTTCCGTACTTTATTATTGTTTCTTATAAATTTTCGTTTCCTTTAACAGCTCATTTGAACTGGAAAGCTGAAAAGGAGATTTGTTTTCATTCGCATTTATATTTCCAGTCCTTTAGATCCTCGACTTCTCAAATTCACTGACTTGGAAATTCTGGCAAAGAACATCCCGATGTACAAAAATTAAGAGGAGAGTGCTGAAATAATAACGGCAAAATTATTGTCACTTCTCATAACAATTTTCACCTTCAACACTCTCGGAAACCTAAACAATTATATCCGTATCCTGTGACTGCGCTTTTGTCAGCGTGTAAAACTAGGTACGCGTCGCGACGATGAAAACCGCACTGAAATCATTTTGTTCGAGCTTTGTAGGGGTTACAATGCTCATGCGCCCCTATAGTACTGCATTTTAAGGAAATGATAAAATTTGCAGGAATGTGGAACCCGGTACAGAACCAAATAATTTATCTATTTCGTAAACGCCTTCTGCTTGAGTATACGGAAACCGCTTGAAAGTCTATTACTTCTTGATGGTCTGTTGCTCGTTTCTTATTGAGATGTTATTTATTATTTTACGAACCTGGCATTGGAAAGATTAATTTTTTTATTTGTGTTGAACACTCATCATCAGAAGCCACCGACGGCGAATACGGATGAACTTCCTTCAGCTTTAATAAAATTGTGTGTTTCTATTTAGGTCGATGTTTATATTTTTTACAACGCACCAATTTTCTCAGTTACAAAGCGACATAAATTTGACGATATTCCCGCATGCTTCTATTGTACAGATCTAACTTTGCGACTATACCAGCTTTAAATAAGCAGAAACGGTTTAACTACACTTTGTCTTATTCCCAAATGAGGTTAGCAATACTTTTCGAGAAGAAAAAAATTCGCAATAAACATTGCGTGTCGTGACTTTCATGTAATATTTGCAAATTTACTTTCAATCTAAAGCTGCAATAAGTTAAGACGTGTTTGACATTTACAAGGCTGTTAAATATAGTCCAATATTAAATTTCTGCACGAAGTTTCTTATATTTTGTATAAATTGGATTCTGTTTATAACTTAGGTTTTCGACATTTATGGAGATATAACTGAAGGGTAATTCGTGTTATTTTTGAAATTCAGAAAATATGTTTTCACCGACGCATTTTTTGAAAAAATCTATACTTGTACGTAAATGCGCTTTTATTTGTAGTAAATTGGCCCGCATACTGTTCAATTTAAGTATAGTTGACCGAAACACTATGGTTACTAGCAAGGTTACTAGCTAGGTTCCTAGGCTTTAGATAATCTGAAAAAATTAATAAAATCTCGAAAACGAAACGGCCGCGACGCGATTTACACCAGTTCACAATTGTTTTAATTAAGTTTCTTTTTGTAACGAGGGAGGAATGTTGTGTATTCAATTTAAGTATAGTTAGCCGAAACAGTATGGTTTCTAGGCATTAGAAAGTCTGAATAAAATTTAAAAAAAACTTCAACATATAATTTATAAAACCTAGTATAAAGCTTAAAGCCTCTTTCTAAGCTTTTAAATGTAATACCCACAAAAAATTTTAGGATTAATAATTTCAAGTAATTAAGTACGACATTCCACTGTGTCATTGTTTACTCTGCTGTCGTTGACAAAAACGAATTTACAGCTATAAGAATATTTAAATTAAGAGATTACGGACTACTTGAAATATACGAAACAAGAAAAACCTAAGTTATAGGTACTTCTCAGAATCAGAATCGTAATAACTATAACATTTTAGTACAGCCAAAATCGATAGCTTTAGAAATATAAGCATAACGCCTAATTGTATTTCTTATTTCCTACACCCCTATCATAAAGAAAGAAATGCAAAAACGATGGAAAACTTCATAAACAAAAGTTATACTTAGGTACTTTTTTATAAATCGTGGGCACAGCTTTTGGAAAAGTTATCTTCAGATTTAAAAATTGATTTAAAACCCTCATTAAGGTTCTTTAACTGCAGGTTAGTTAACTCTAATTTTGACGGGCTATTTGTTTTCTTTGGTTGGAACTCAGGATCTACCACTTTGTTTTGTCCGTATATGTCTGGGTGACGAATTCGGATATGGGAGGCCCGTGACTTTTCAGAATTGAAGACTTGCTTGCACCGTGGGCATGGAAGTTCTACTAATGGATTATTATTATTATGAACTTCAATCAAGCAAAAAAAGCATTGGTCGGAATAGTATTTATTAATATTTTCCTTGGTTATCTGTACACACTCTCCATGAAACCACACGGTGCACTTCTCGCACATGATCAGATATCTCAGATGTTTGGCATTTACAATATAATAATCGTGAGGAAATACTAGCACCTAGAACCTTTTTGTTAAGTTTGTTGCAGCCAAATTTCTAAATCTCCTATGGAAGCTGAACCTACAGTTATTTTTCTTCTTGAAGTTCTGTTTTTATTAGATTCGTCTGTAGTTTCACTTTCATTTTCTTCAGAAATGTTGGTATCAGTAATTAGAGGGCAACTCAGCTTAACGTTGGTCATATGTAACTGGATGTGCACATATTTATAAGGGGATTCAAATCTTTTTTTTACAGAAAATGTTGCGTCTCCTTCACTATCGGCATGGGGTCAATATTCAAAGGAATGCAAAGGATACCGAATTTGGGTAATTAACCAAAAAAGGTATAACACGTGACCTAAATTTATGGAAGAATTTAAAGTAAAAATGAGGAATGCGACTGAATTCAATTTGGATTTGGATTCCGAAGAACCTACTGAAGCAGTGCCTCCCCCAAACCGTGGAGATCGAAACAATTCAAGAGCCAACGAACGGGCTAATGGTGAGTTGTAGAGAGCGAGAGGCATACCCAGAATCAAAAGAACTGCAGCGAGAGGAGGGAATGCGAAGATATATAGATATCACGAGCTGAAGACACGTTAAAGAATCTGAACGCGAGTCCAAACTTGAGATGATTGAAAATGCGCTTGTAGATGAAGTTCCTATGGCACAAGCATTGAAATCACCCGAGGCCAACTGGTGGTACGGAGCGATGGCATATGAGATCAGTAAGGAACGAGCCCTGAAAATTTGTCAACCATCCTTCAGATTGTGAGGAACAAATATACCCCGAAAGGTCAATTGTTGCGTGGCACTTCACTGAAATTTTTGCGTCGGTGAGGTGGCCACAATCACTGTAGCCGCCATCGTCACTCAATCCCATGTGAGGGTTGGACAGCTAGATGTCACGGAATGCTAAAGAAAGAAATTTTAATGGAAACGCCGAAACATCTTTAACGAATCCGCGAAAGAGCGACATGCGGAAATAAAGCACGACAAATACGCGAAGATAAAGTGTGTCGGTTAAACAAGTCACTGTACGGACTGAAACAAGCAGGGCGAAGTTGGTATTACTTTGAGATCGTTTGGTGCTACTCCCGCCAAGGGTGATCCTTCTTTATATAGTATTGGATCAGGATTTGCAATGCATTGAATTTACCAGAAATAAAGTTCGAATTTTGATGAGTCAAACGGGATACATAAATGAACCTTTGAACCGTTTTAGGATGACTGGTGTTAAACCTATTTCTACCCCAACGAATTGAAGAAAGGGGACAATTCTCCTGATGCATACTATCCCACACCCTATCGAGAACTGGTTGTTGGTTTTACGTACCTATTTGTTAACATGTATCAGACTTGACATAAGTTATTTGGAACAATTCAACAACTGTTACATCAAGGAGCATTGGATTGCAGCCAAAGGTACGTTGGAACTAGCACTAGAGCTCAAAACCTTTGATCTGCTTTGTTGACGTAGACTGGGGAAATTGCACCCTTGATGGAAAATCGTTATACTGGGTATGTCTTCATGTTCGGAGGAGGTCCAATATCTTGGGTGGAAATGTAATAATCATCCCTGCTTGTAAACTACATACTATTTCTTCTTTCTTTCAGTACTGTACTGACTGGTTGCAACATCTGATCTTAGTTACATATCTATAGTTGTATTTACAGACCACACACCTTTCCTCTTTTTTTAAATCCAAGATTCTTCTTTGTCATATTATTATTGCACTTGTATTTGCCTTTGTTGTAGACAATGAAAGAGCTTTGGACCATCACTCTTTTCTGCAATACTCCTACATGAAATTATTAATTCCTGCAATTTTGAACCTTAAGCAATTTACGCATAAATTCTCAAAAACGAATTTACTTTTATGTACACGTTCTGTCTATAACAAACGACAGGCCAAAAGTCTCTTCAACATTTTGTACCGTTAAAAAAAATTTCACTCGTATAAGCTTATTAATTTCATTATCGAGCAGCAGCACAATACTTACAGTTGACTGGATCCATTTCTTTGAAGCGAAACTCCAAATGAGATGAATCAATAATAATTATTAACGAACACTCGAGATTTTCCCCATTTTGAAGTTTTATTTTAATTTGTAGTTGTTTGCGATATATTTCCACTTACACATATTATAAATTTACAACCCTAAAACTTTTTACATTTTCAAAAAAGCAGCCCTTCAAGGATTATTCTCCAGATATGAGTAAATCCTTCTTTGCTCTACTTTCACTAAACTCGCTATTAAACATAATTATACGATTCTTGCTTCTTAATTGTCTCAAACCTTCACACCCATTTCTGAGTAACACACCTGTCTAATATCTTAGGTTTGAGAATATGGAATTCTCCAATTTCTCCCCCAATTGCTGTTCTATTCCTGTTTACTTCCACATTCTTCCCTCTCTCATTTGCCTCCTCATCTCATCTAAACTCAGCACGTTCTTCTACAATTATTACCAAGTTCCTCTTCAATTTACATCGCTTTTCGCTTCAAGTACTTGAATGTTTTTTCCTTTTCTTCAGTTTTCATGTCATTTTGTTTTAAATCGTTTCGTCTGTTCCCTTTCCTACACCATTTGCTCTGCGGTACACCACAAAAACATTTTTTTGCTTCATTTTAGTACTCCTTTTTCGGAAATCAATTACAATACAGTTTTTTTTTTAATTGCAGCTGATAATTAAAAGTAACAAAATATACAATCCAAACGAAGCGCGTCGCCTATCATTGTATTTCAGCACTTTCATACTACGACAAAAAATGATAAATTCATTGTAAAACACTGCAATTAAAACAGAATTTTTTAATTTTTTAACAACCTAACATCAACCCCAATTACAGAAACGTGTTAATAATTTATTAATAGTGCAAGAAACTAAATACAGCACATACTTATAAATTTCCAACGGGCCATTATGACGTACAGGCCACGTGGCAATCGCCACCCGCCTCCCCGGGCCAGTCCGCCCCTCTTTCTAGTCCATAACTTTTGATTGA